TCTATCCGCTGGTCTCTGTAGCCCTTCTTCCAATTCCGCTTCATTGTTGAGTGCAGCCACGGCATATTCGCCCTCCGGGGCCTGCCGTCCTCGTGTACACCGTATCTCCTTTCCAGGCTGCTGACTTCGGAAAATTTGGGCATTCGGCTTGAGCCTCTTGGCGATCGGCGCTTCTGATTCTTCCTCATCATCATTATCGCTTCGTGTTCTCTTCGCGCTAGATAGCGTCGAAGGCACGGCATGCACTTGCAACCCCAGCGCAGACTGGGTCCCTCGGACAGCTTGGGCATTTAGCCTGAGCCTCTTGGTGGTCGCCCCTCCGGGTTCTTCTCCGTCGCCTTCGTCGACCTCGCTCCGTAATCTCTTCGGGCTGGGCGAAGAATGCGTCCGCCCCGGTGGCCCCGCGGGGGGCACAACTTCTTCGGGGGTCAGTGTATGAGGCTGATGCCTCTGAGGGTCTGGGCCGTCCAGGTTCCCCTTGTGGTCGGGCCGCCCTTTTCTCGTTTCGCCGGGCGCGGTGACATACCCACCTTCCCTCATACCCGCCTCGACGAGCGGCACCTGGTCAAGAGTCCATTACAAAAGAAAAAGATGTTTCTCTGCCTTTTCCTTAGCTCGCTTGCAAAAGACGGCCTTTGTTGTGAGGGCCCTGCATGTTGTTGGTGTCCCCTAGCGCCTCTTGCCTCGCTGCAATGTTGGACTCGGCCTCTTTCACGGCCGTTTCGGCACGGTCCCGTTCGTATTCGAGCTCGGGAAGGTTGTGAGACTCAATAACAGATTCGGGTGTCTCGCCCTGTACAAGTACTTTTTCATCAAAAAGAGCTTTGAGAGTTTTCTCATACGCTAATTGACACCGAGCTGCTCTGTCAAGGAGTCCATCTTGAACCCAGTATTCGTAGTTTAAATACTCGATCCACGTTGTTAGTTGGTCTTGGTGTAAGTGGTCATGGGCCGGCTGGAATTCCCGTATGAAGCTGTGACGTTTCAAACGGGTTTGTGCCGCCTGAACGTAGACCGGGAACCTGTTTTCGCCTTGCATATTGGCCACCCCGAGCTCGACACAGTTGCGGTGCTCGCGAGTTCGTTCTTCGGTTAGCCTCTCTATTGCGCTCCCATTCTGGATCGTGGCATGGCGGATCGAGTCCTAGGCTTTCCTTTTCAAGCGCATCATGGGCCTGTTTCCTCCGAAGGTCGGTCCCTATGTCGAAAATCCCGCGGTTGTCGGCCTGCCAGCGTCGAAACTTTTTCCAGCGCATGAGCTGTGTCCTGTATACATCCCCCCCATTATCCAGACCCAAGGTACGTAACATCTCGTGGTGGTCCTCGTGGTCTCTGGATACACTATCAAGTAAGTCGAATGAATACCACGGCCGGCCGCCGTCGCCAATAAGGGCATTGTACGCTACGGTTTCTCTCACAATGAGACACCGGTGTGATTCTTCCTTGTCAGGGGTGGTCGTCCAAGACGCAGGTGGGGGTCTTGTTACAGGTAATCCGCTTGCCTGAAATTGCAGAAGCCGGTCGTTGAGTTGGTCGAGATCGATCGGATGAGACAGCGTGTCCATCCACTTTCTAAATGACATACCACGATTAGTGTCTGTGCGTGACGCGAGGGTTGGTACAGCGGAGCACATACGCAATCCTCTGAATAAGTTCACGCTCATCGGCTTCCGACAAGTCTGTCCATCCCGGAACCTTGAGCTTCATGGTATCGATCTCAGTACTCGGTCTGAGTTCATACATGTGCTTGTTGAAATCGGGCGAGCCCAAAGTCAGAAGATGGGCAGCGCTAAAGTCCCCAAGATTCTGCTTGTTGGGTGATGACATCCCATACTGAGAGGTGCTGGATCTAGCAGTACTGATCCATTGCCCGAGGCCATTTTCGAGGCTTCCATGGCGCACGTTGATAGGTAAATGGATGTGTGTGAAGTGCAGCGATCACTGCAAGCTCGGTTTTGGTATGGATTGGAACCTTTAATTCATCGAGGAAGACCTGTGAAAGGTATCATGGCACAAAAGCTACCTAGATGTCAAGAACGGGTATAGTGGTGGCGGGCGCGTCACATACCGGCACCATCACTCAAAGAACATAACACGCCTTGTTGTGTGGTCAAATGTGGAGTGAATAAACAACGCGATGGGGACGTGATCGGATGGCTGGGGACATTCGGATTGGCTGAGGATTGGGTGACAACTATTCGCTTGCTTGCCTACATTACTGCAAACTCCCGGTGAATTTGTTTGTTTGTGCTGTGAAACCGATGTGGGAGTGGTGACAAATCATGGATGCCCCTGAACCTTGGCCCCAGAGGAACACGCCGGGCGAGGCCAAGTATCTCATCTGAGCCAGAACAACACCTCCACCAACAAAAACAATGTGAATTTGGAGATCACACAGCGCGGTAGAGAGCCGAGCCAGTTGTTTGACAGAAAAAAACAAGGGTGCGAAGGGTGCGTTTTACTGCCATGCATAGAGGCCAGACAAGGAGCATGTGAATTGAACGGTTGGTGACAGAGACGGTAAACAAAAGCCACGAGACTTACCAAACACTCAGCGTGGCCAAAGGATCGATCTAATCCACTGACAGCCAACTCATTGTCGATATTTGCACTCATTGGCTTGACTTGCCGAAAATATAACTGTTCGCTCTCCACCTCGCGGCCTTGCTCCTCTGTACATTCTGCCTAGCTACAGACCGAATCGTCGCCACTTCGCTATGGCGGACGAAGATTTAATCGCACGTCTCATCCTTCCTCGATCCCTTGAGGAAGAGATTGCCGACCTAAACCCTACCCGGTCCCGGTGTGGTCAATCAACTCTGTCCCCCGAGAGTGACCAACATATGATAGACAACGACGACCAGGGCTGCTTGGAACTTAGGTTCAGCGAAAAGCCCAAGAACCACAGCCTGCAATTGTGTTTGGAACGAACGCTAAAGTTTGCGATATTGTCCTCCCTCAGGCAATGAATATCAGCGGTCACCACTTCATGAAAACGTTTGAAAAGGACTTTGCCGACACCGGAGAGTACCGTTTAGTGCTGAAGGATCTCGACTCCACAAACGGGACTGTCGTAAAGTACGATGGGAAGGGCGGAGAGCGGCGGAGCGGCTTTCGCTGGATCCTCTCGGGACACAAAAACGCCAGGTCCTCAATCATCATCGAGGTCAACAAATACGTTAGTTTCCAGCTCGCCGTGTTTATCCCACAGATAGGGATGACCGGCGCCCTCGTCGAGCAGGTCCAACGCTTCCTGAAGCCGCTTCCGATAGACTCCCTGGTCGGCAGTCTCAACGTCGACGCTACGCTGAAATCTACAGCATTCACTCCGGGGCCGGGCGCTCCCAAACCAGGCAGAAATGCGGCGCCCATTCTGCTCAACAAGGGCAGACTCGGCAAGGGAGGTTTTGCCTCTGTAACGCACTACTGGAATGTCGGCACGGGACTCGCTTTCGCAAGAAAGAAGCCTTACAGGGAGTTCAACAGGGACGAAGAAGAGAGGTTCAGGAACGAGATTGAGCTGCTGAGCGGCCTGGATCATGTAAGCATCACTCCTTTGAGCACCCCCCCCCCCCGCTTTCCCATTTTCACCAGAACTGATACTTTTTTTGCGACAGAAACACATCATTAAACGCCCTGACAACCCAGACGACGAAGAACTTCGAATTGACTTCGAGTTGATTGAGGGAGGGACTCTCGAGTCCAAACGCGGCCAGTGGTCGTTCGCCACCAAGGTGGAAGCCCTCAAGCAATGCCTCGAGGCGATTAACTACCTTCATACGCTGCCTCAACCAATTGTTTACCGGGACATCAAGTCCGCAAATATCCTCGTGGACAATACCAGGACGGCATCTGTATCAAACTCGCCGATTTCGGGCTCGCGTGGGAGGGCGACGACCCAATGAGCATCCTCGGGACTGATACATTTTTACCCCCTGAACTCGATTTGACAATGAGCCCACCGGGATACACCATGGACGTGGACATCTGGTCGATGGGTGTAACCGCGTGCGATTTGTTGCCAAGATACCACGCGAGAAGCTGCTCCACAAGGAATGCTTGAGGTTCATCGAGAGGGCGGAACGTGAAGCAAACGCCCAACCGCCGAAGGAATCGCGGCTGCTTCGATTTATCTTGGAAAACATGCTTGTCATGGACGCCGAGTCGCGCAAAACCGCTGGGGAGTGCCTCAAAGCGCTTGCCCAGACCACTTTTGACAGTGGTGATAACGGTGGAGGCGTGGAGAGCAGCGAAATCACCGGCAAGGATGGCGATGGCGGCGGAAACGGCGCCACCGGAGGCAGCCGTGGTGACCACGGAGATGGCGACTGGGATGTTCCAACGGAGCGGCCACGCTCGGCAGTGCAAGCTCGCCCCAGTCGCATCATTAAGCGTAGGGTATCGCGATCGCCCTCATCGTCTTCGAACCGCAGAGGAACCAAGAGACAATACATCCTGTGCACGCCCGAGGCAACCATCATTCCGTGCACGCCCGAGGCAACCAACATCCAACCCCCTCGCGTGATAACATGCGACGACTCGGTATCCCACATATAGGAAACCCCCAGGCGGGTCACGGTGAGGGCGCCGCATTTCGAGCAGGGCACGGAGACCGAGGAACATTCCGAACGGGAGACGGAGACGGAGACGGAGACGGAGACGGAGGGCCATTCCCAAGGGGCCACAGAGATTGAGGAACATCCCGAGCTAGCTCGCGCCGGAAGCAGTTCCAATGCCGCCGACCCGCCGCAGTCCTCGCCGTAGGCGGAATCGGAGGGGAGTGGGCGGGGTATTCGAGTCTCGGGGATAGGCTCAGAGCCAAAAGCTGGCGCGCGGGACCATGAAAGCATCCCCAGGACGTTTGGGGAAGTGGCGGCTCGGAGGGCTAGACACCTAGGACACGAGGGTGGAGGGCTGGGGACGTTTTGTGGACTGTATGATACGAGGTGTTGTGTTGTATTTCCTCTTGGGCGCTCTTGGATTTAGACATCCTCATCCTCACTAACATCATATGCTGTGTAGTCATTTCCATCATAGCATTTATCTCTGTGACTGAATGGACCTCATAGACTCAGATTTCTGACCTTCATTTCTGGTGCCTGTTTTGCAACGGCGGCGATTCGACGACGACGACGAAGCACATGAAGTTGGAAATGAAGTGGGCACATGTCAGAGCCATTTCACGTGACACGCCTTCGAGAAAATTCTGGGCCAGGACCCGCCACCGCGCATGTCTCGGCACAGTCAGCAGGAGACCCTGCCTTTGCCAAGGCTCCCGATCTCTTCTCAACTTGAGCGTCCTGACAATGGAAGCCAGCCGAGTTGACTGCACACTCCTCCAGTCTCAACCCCGCAGCCTCGCCTTTCGCCGCGTATGCTTACCCTAGTTGCTTTTTGAACGGCTCTCGTCGCTCGCTCCGCATTTTTGCCAACACTGTAGAATAGTTTTTTTTTTTTCTCTCTTTTTTTTCGGTTTCATTCTTTCGTTCATCGCCTGTCCACGAGACCGCATGCATTAGACCCTCCCGCCTCGAGACCCGCCCCCCCACGCGACGGGCGCGCGTCACGCATCGCCATCCGATCTGCACAGAGACTAGGTACCTACTACCTGACCGCCACAGTAACACCCTTTTTATCTATATACACACGCACCGGCGGGGAAGACGACGACAAGATGAGCATATTCAACCAGAAATCCAAATTCAAGGTCAAGACCGAAGTGCGCAAGGTCAAGCAAGCGGTGGAGCCGACGCCCGAGAGCAAAAAGAGATACGTCGGCAACGGCAGCGCCAGCGCCAGCACTAACGGCACGCCGCGCGCGTCGCCCACCCCCTCCTCCCTGCAGGTGAAGCGCCCGCGACCACGGCCCGGCGCCGGCGCCGCCTCCCCCGCGACCGGGCCCTCGCTGTCCTCCTCCACCTCAGCCTCGCCGCTGGACCTGACCCGAAAACGCCGGGCGCCCGCGGGCAGCAGCAGTAGCCGATCCCCGGCGACGGCGAGCCCCGCGCCGCGCGCCCTCAGCGACTCGGAGCCCGGGTCGGATGACGACGATGACGACGACTGGCGGGACCGGCTGGACCCGAGCAAGCGGCGGAAGCGGGCGCACACGGAAGACCCGGACCGGCGGCTGAGGCATCCGAGGCTGTGGGCGGGGCAGGGCGACGAGGACAAGCCGGGGATCGTGCACGCGGTGCAGGTGGCGTCGCTAGCGGACAAGTGCCAGCCGGTGATGAAGCTGGCGCGGGACGAGGTGGGCGTGCGGCTGCGGTATCCCGGGGCGAAGTATACTGAGCGGTGAGTTTGCTGGCTGTCGCAGGTTCCATGGTTGTGGAGGTGGGGTGCTGACGTTTTTCTTGTTTAGGTATGAGCTCGTGTGGGGCAAGGATAAGATCGACGGCGCCCTGGATATCATGAAGGTGGTCAAGTTTGTGGCATCGACATACCTCACCGACGCCGAGGCAAAACCGTTTCTGGACCATAACCTTGGTATCAACCGCCGACTGGAGAAGAGTAAGAACACCAATGACGGGGAAGGATTTAAGGCGGCTCTGGCGGAATACAATAACCAGCTACTGGCCCTTCAAACGGAAGGCGCAATAGCAAGGAACATCGATGCCATGCGCGGTGTGCCCAGAGAGCTCGTCGAGTTCATCTTGGACCAAGTATACGACCGTACTGTGGCGCCCAAAGTCGATCTTCTGGCCAAGTACGAGAACGGCACCGACAATGTCTATGGCGAGCTGCTCCACCCGTTTATTTCCGACATCTTCGACCGCACAAAGCTGAGTTCGGACATGGTCTTTGTCGACCTCGGCTCGGGAGTCGGCAACGTGACGCTCCAGGCGGCCCTGGAAAGGGGATGCGAGAGCTGGGGCTGCGAGATGATGGAGAACGCGTGCAATCTCGCCGAGGCGCAAAAGAAGGAGTTCACGGCGCGCTGTCGAATGTGGGGCATCGCGCCGGGCAAGGTGCACCTGGAACGGGGCGATTTCCGGAAGAGCGAGAGGACCTTGGCGGCGTTGAAACGAGCCGACGTGGTCCTAGTCAATAACCAGGCATTTACCTCGGAGTTGAACGACCACCTCGTCAACATCTTCCTGGACCTCAAGATCGGGTGCAAGATCGTGTCGCTCAAGACCTTTGTCCACGACAACAAGATCGCCGAGAACGATGTGGCGTCGTCCATTTTGGAAGTTGAGGACTTGAGATACCACGAGGGTTATGTTAGCTGGACGGGAGCCGCAGGGTCATTTTGCATTTCGACGAGAAAGTGAATGCGTGTTTGCAGGGACTTGGCGGTATGCTGGCGGTTTTGGGTGAGTCTTTCAGGAGTATGGGACGGTTGGCATCAGTATTTGGACAACATGTCTGCAAAGACAAGCGAGTACCCAATATAGCGGTGTCTGTTGATATATTTGTTGTTGTATCTCTTAGTGTACCGCTCGGAGGAAGATAGGGGACAACTTAGATAAATAAATGTATTATACATACCTTGGTCGCCCCGATACTGCCGTCGAATTCTAAATAGTGCGTTTGTTTGTTCCCGATTATCTGCCGGCCCGCCTTGCTACCTCTTCTTGCTAAACAGCGGTTCGCTCGCAAGATTCAAGGCCTCGGCCTCCTCCCCCACCCGCTGCATGAACCTCTCGACGAGCTGCTTGTTCTCGGCCTCCTTCTCGGCCCGGTTCTTCTCCACCATGTTGAGCTGCATATTGAGCACGACCAGCTCGTCCTGGACATCCGCGACCAGCTTGTTCTTGACCCGGAGCTCCTCCTCGCGATCCCGCAACTTGAAGGTGAGGGTGCGCCGCTCAGCCGTGAGGTTGCGCAGCGTCTTCGAGTCGGCGGCCGTCTTAGCACGGAGGCGGGCGAGTTCCGCGTCGGATTCCTGGAGGCGCTGCTGGAACTGGCCTTTCGACCGGAGGGCTTCGGCTAGCTCGAGGCGGAGGCGGGTTATGGTGGGAGTGTCCCCCCCGGAGGGGGCAGAGGAATCGGGTATTGGTGGTTTTGAGGTTTTGGTTGTTGTGGGGGCCGCGGAGGGCTGGGATTGCGCTTGGAGTTGGAGGGCTGCATTTTCGGCTTCGAGGACGGAGACGCGGTCAAGGAGCTGCGAGTCTGGAATTTTGTCAGTCTTGGATGTCGATGTCTATCTATATCACTGCTACTCGACAGAGGCTGCTAGTGATTAATCAATGCGATAGCAATGGACGGCAACAGGTATGGAAGGAGGGGGAATGGCGGGTCCGTAGATTGACTGACAGCCTGCGATAAGCTCTTGGTTGACTGGGTGTAGTTTCTCGGCTTCCCTAATGCCGGAGACGTATTCTTGCCTCCAATCGGCAGACATGGTGGTGTAACTCCGGTCAGTGACTAGTATGGTAGCGAGCTAAGCAAAGAAGAGCCAAGCAAACAGTTTGGGGAAATAAGAACGGGAACCGACGTCGAGCAGAGCTTTTTGGGTTGATGATGATGATTCAAGTTGCACGAGCTTATCGTCAACCCCGCGGGCCTGTCGGGGGGGCTGAGTGGGCTTGGGGAGCCCGATCGAGTCCCTGCCCAATTCCGTGCTGGAACAGCAGAGGGCGTTAATTGCACCGTGCGAGCTTCCCCGCGAATAACAGTGCTGCCCACAGTGGTTACCAACCTACCCATGCAGGCTCCGAGGCTCCATCCAAGCTTCATTCATTCAGCACTCCCGGGTTTGTTCATCAATCAACACAACCTACCCTATCCATTCTAACAACCCGAGTCAGTTCACTTCACAGCCAAGCATGGGGACATGACATATGATGGACGTCGCTCATCCCACAGCAGGCTGGGAACAGCTTGGTGAGCGTTTTTACCGCAAGACTCAACTCTACACCCAAGTGTTTGACCAAGACTTGGACTTGGACAATTATCTGGTCGCGGGAGCTCCCTATGGAGGTGCTATTGGTGAGTAAACATCCGTCACATCACCACACCGTCACATCGTCACGTCGCCAGGTCGCTTACATAGCTATAGCCCTTTACCGCGATGAGGAGAAGCTGATCGCCTTTCAACCAACAAGACCCTCCAAACCCAGCATCGACATCTACAGCTGCGCCGGAAAGCTCATCCGCCGCATCAACTGGGACCAGGGCTCCATCAAGGGGTTGGGTTGGTCTGAGGATGAGAAGCTCCTAGTTGTCACGGCAGACGGTACTGTGAGATGCTACTATGACTTGCAGGGAGAGTTCACCCAGTTCTCTCTGGGCAATGGTGCCGATGAGGCTGGCGTCAAATCGTGCAGGTTCTATGCCCACGGCCTTGTTGCCTTGTTGAACAACAACGGTCTGATCTCTGTTTCCTCGTACCACGAACCGCGTCCGAAGCTCCTGGCTTCGCCCCCAGGGGGGCATGTGCACTCATGGAACATCATTCCACCCGCCTACACGCTGTCTCGGTCAGTCGAGGTACTCCTCAGCATCAGCCAGACCATCTTCGTGTCAGACGCTACAACGTGCGAGGACCGCTTTTTGGATATTGGCCCTTTCACTCACATCGCCGTGTCGCCGAATGGGCGCTTCTTATCACTCTACACGGCGAAGGGCAGGGCCCACGTCATCACCAGCGACTTCGAAAACCGCTTCAGTGAACACGACTCCAGGTCCAAAATTCCCCCCAAGTATCTCGAATGGTGCGGTAATGATGCCGTCGTGATTGCATGGGAGGATGAGGTACACCTGGTTGGCCCGAGTGGATCTTTGGCCACCTTCTTTTACGACAGCGGCCGTGTGCATATCGTTCCCGGTGCGTGGCATTCCCGCGGTCAGTTTTTCTCTCTTATTTCTAACCAACCTCGCAGATTATGACGGAGTCAGGATTCTCGCCAATGATACCTGTGACTTTCTCCAAAAGGTTCCTGGTGTCACAGAAGAAGTATTCCGTCTAGGTGCGGATTCTGCCGCTTCTATCCTCTTAGACGCCGTGGAGCAGCTCGATATGCAGTCGCCGAAGGCCGACGATAACATCCAACTCATTCGGCCGCGCCTCGTCGAGGCCGTAGACGGCTGCATAAATGCTGCCGGGCAGGAGTTTAGCGTCCACTGGCAGAAGCAGCTGCTTAAGGCCGCTTCTTTCGGCAAGTCGGTGCTCGACATATACAGCAGCGATGACTTTGTCGATATGTGCGAGACGCTGCGGGTGCTTAATGCCGTCCGTTTCTTTGAAATAGGCCTGCCGTTATCCTACGAACAGTACCAACGTCTGTCACCGTCCGGACTTATTTCCAGGCTTCTAAACCGTCACGAATATCTCCTGGCTCTCCGCATCGCCGGCTACCTGCGGCTACCGACCGATAAGATTTATGTTCACTGGGCCTCTACTAAAGTCCGCGTCGGTTCCGAAGATGACGATGCAATCTGTAGGAAGATCGTCGAAAAACTATCAGGGAAGCCGGGGATATCCTTCGAGGCGATTGCACGTGCCGCATATGATGAGGGAAGAGGCCGCTTGGCCACCGAGTTGCTAAACCACGAGCCACGCGCCGGGCGGCAGGTACCGCTCCTACTGAGCATGGAAGAGGATGATTTAGCCCTGGACAAAGCTATCGAGAGCGGGGATACGGACCTAATTTACTTTGTCCTGCACCAACTCAGGCGAAAGTTGCCCCTGGCTGGTTTCTTCCGTGCCATCAACAACCGGCCTACCGCTATGGCCTTGGTAGAAGCATTGGCGCGCCAGGGCGATGGCGACGGCCGCGAAGATACCACGCTGCTCAAGGACCTGTACTATCAGGACGATCGCCGCCTGGAAGGGGCAGCCGTATTCATCCGCGAGGCACTACGTCAGCCCGAGGGCCGAACAGCAAGCGACAAGCTGTCTCTCGCGGCAAAGCTGCTCGCGGACAACTCCAAAGAGCACGCGTTTGAGCTGGGTGCGTTGAAAGAAGCGACGACGCTGCTCCGAATGCAGGAGGCATTCGACCGCGATCTGACCGACAACTTCACGGGGCTGTCGGTGAATCAAACCATGTTTAAACTCATCCGGCTCGGGTACCACGGCAGGGCCAAGAAGCTCCAGAGCGAATTCAAGGTGCCCGAGAAGGTGACTTGGTGGATACGGTATGCCCCAACCAACGAACCCCAAAAAGTGAAGAATATCATAACTAACGAAACCCCAAACAGGCTCCAAGCCCTCGTCGCCAAGCGCGACTGGAACGAAATCGAAGAGATATCCCGCCAACGCAAAAGCCCCATCGGCTGGGAGGTATGTACTCTCTCTCTCCCCTTTTCCCATCCCCCCCACCCCCTCTCCCCGGCCCCCAAACCACACACCCCCCTCACCCATCCACCCACTAACCTCCCCCCCCCTTCCCTTTCACAGCCCTTCTTCAACCAAACCCTCCAAGCCGGCAACCCGCGCCTGGCCGCGACGTTCGTGGCCAAATGCACGGGCCTCGAGCCGGGCCAGGCCGTGGCCATGTACGAGAAGTGCGGCATGCCGGTGCGGGCCGCCGAGGAGGCCGTCAAGAGCAAGGATGGCGAGGCGTGGGCGCGGCTGCTGGAGGCGGCGGGGCGGACGACGGCCGAGGGCCGCGAGATTGAGAGGTTGGGGGCGGCGGTTTTTAGGAAGTAAGAAGTAGGGGGGTGGTATGTTTTTTGGTGGTTATTATTGTTGCTTTAAGTTAGGGGTTTGGGTGTGAGTGGGTAGTGAGGGGGGCTGTGTTGGTTGCGTACCTAGGTAGCTAATTGATCGGGTGGGGGGTGGCTTGAACAAAGGAAAGAGCGGCTGCTGTGGGGATCATGGTGAATCCTCTTGCGTGTTGCGATGCCAGGGAGTTGTTTGCGTGTAGGATTGGCTTGGTTGCTTTACTCCGGTGGGTGGGAATTCTTAGTAACCAGGCCAAACCCATCTTGTCAAACGAAGAAAGGCCACGATACAATGGGGGTGTTCATCGAGACAGGAGTCCCTATTAATAGCACCACCCAAGGGCCCTCGCATCTAACGGACTAAGCTCTCCTGGTCACGGACATATCGCCACATCCGACAGGCTCGGGCTGCCGTGCTAATCCAGGCCAAAGACGGAACAAACGAGATAAAAATGCTGCTTTGATGTCTGTGGTATATACTCATGCTTAGTAACAAGGGTCTGCTTCTCTGGCCCGCGCAACACACGTCAGCCCTTTCTCACAATCACACCGCCCCAGCACTGTTGAAGTAGGTGGATATATATAGGGGGATGGAACGAGAAAAAAACTTCAAATGAGAACCTAACATGAGTTGAAACCGACGATCAAACCTCAGGAAAGTCCAAACGTTATAATGCCATCCCATCCCGTGTCTCCCAGGCGGTGCGAATAAATCAGCCTTGCCCAACCAGTTAACCCCAACCCGTCAACTCCCAGATGTGCTGTGCAATGCGCCCGCCCGCTGTACTGTGCTCTCCTCTGGACCAAAAACGCCATGGCAGAGAAAGTAATGTGGGGGCAGGGATTAAAGGAGAGAATGAGCAACACAGCGAGAATATAATGACCGCTGAGATACCCTCCGATAAAATAAGAAACAACGACCCAAGATCCGATCCGTACCATGTCTTGACTTCTCAAGCGAAAACGCCCTCCAGTTATGGATCGTCATTTTCCCTCACTAGGCGTGCCCCGGCAGCTTGTACGGCAGCCTCGATACTTGAGGCAGGAACCTCGCCGCCTTGACTCAGTGCAGCTCCCGCAGGGCGGGCGCTCTCCGAGCTCAGCCTCACGCCACTGCCGTCAAACACCCAGGGCCCGGCGTCGTTCCGCGGCGTGATTGGCCCTTCGTGGCCATTAGCTACGGGCGCACCCGTGGGCGATGGTGTCCTCGTCTCGCGGCGGCCGTTGGGTAGAGTGCGTTGGGCGGGGGAGGGGATGGGCATCGGGGTTGACAGAGTGTGTGACAGAAGGTTAGGGTCTGCGAGGGTAACAGCGCCGTCAAGCTGTGGTGGCGATTCTTGCCGGGGAGGCGAGGAACTCATGAGCAGGTCCATGTTGGAGTCTTCGGCCGGTTGTAATTGCTGCTGCTGCTGAGCGGCGAAGAGACGGGTGCTGCGTACCGATTCTCGAGATTTACGGGGCGCGGAAGGAGAGTTGCTGTTCTGACTGTTGGGGTCGACCAAAGGAGGTTGCAATAGCGCTCCCTGCGGCGCTACGGCGCCTTCGTCAGAGAGCTGCTCCCACTCTTCTGGGTCCTCCACTTCAGCCTCGAGATCGGCGGCGGCGCGGCAGTTAGGGCAGATAAAGATGGGGAAGGACGGCGACGAGAGCAGAGAGCGGATGCATTTATAGTGCCAAGTGTGAGAGCAAGGTGCGACGAAGAGACACTGACACGGCTACGGACTGTTAGCAACTGGTTGCCCGGTTATGGCACAGGGGAGGCTTACCGCTATGCTGTTGAGACATATGGAGCAGTCCTGCGAGTATGCTCCTCCTGAGGCGCTGGCGGTCCCAGATGTCATATTCCTCAATTTCTTGTGTGTGGCCATGCTAAAGGGGGTTGTGAGTCTCGGCACCAGTTAGGCTTGACATGATTATGGCTTACTTGAAAGTATTTAGCTTGTTCTGCCAACCGCGGTTTAGCTCCAGTCGCATCTTGACGCATCGGAAGATCATCTCCTCGCCCCCTTTGAAGTCGATTCCCAGCTGGACAATATCACCGTCGTTCACGGGGTACGGTTTGGATTCGGTGCCAGGAGGGCTTAGTCGGATGTGGTTGAGGAAAGTGCCTGAGCTACTCTTGACATCTTTGATATACCATTTCCCCTCTTCGTACCAAAACTCGCAGTGGCGTCGGCTGACCACCTTGCTCTTGAAGCCTACGGGGGCTGCTGAGGGAGCATTTACCGGGATATTGGGCTGGCTATCCCTCTCCGAATACCTGCCAACACGGATGACTTCTCTGCCACTTGGGAGGGTGCGCGAGATAGGACCAAACTTGAGCGATGGCCGCGTAGCGCGGGGATCGACGAAAGTGCTGAACCGAATGGAGGGCAGAGTATCGAGACCGCCGCCCCCGTCGTGTCGGGTGAGGGCATCGCCGGTGGTCGCAGAGCGCGCTCGTGTCATCTCGCCGGTCGTCTGGCGGTTCCCGTCGGCAATTCTAGAACCGTTTTTGGAAGAGGGGAAAGGGATGGGAGGGGCGTCGGCTGCCCGTAGTTCAGACGAGATTCCTGTTGCTGGTCCGGACGGGCCCCTCTCATTCGACGAGTCAGGGGATCGCCGAAGCGGCTGTCCGAGAGTAGGCACGAGGTGCGAGAAGCGGTTGGTGCGAGTCGACGATGAGGTGGGGTTATAGTTATTATTGTTATCGTTGTTGATGTTGCTGCTGTCGTTGTTGTCTAGCGCGGGAGTGGTGGTGGAGTGATCGTGGCGTGCGGAAGTGAACCCGGAAGTGAACCAAGGATTTGTTGAGATGGTCGGTGGTGACGGTGCTGATGTTGCGGGTTGTGGGTTCGAAACGGCAGGCGCGTGGGTATTGTTGTGGGCGCTGTGTTCGCGGGACAAGATGTGGGTTTGGGTGTAATTGCGGAGATATGTCAAGCCTCGCAGGCGGCTACCTCTGGTGGGCGGTGTCGAGGACGCGGGGGCCGCAGTCACGGGGGAGACGACAAGGTTTCCAGGCCCCGTGGATGTGGGCCTCCTTGAGACCGTGGGTTGGGTAAACATTGACGAGGACCGCTTGGGAGAAGGGGGGGTCGGGCGGAGAGTCAGTCCCAGGGGTAGGAGGTGTCACCCGTCGGCTGTTGACGATGAAAACCTGGAAGGTCTGCGGCTGTTGGGGGTAACAAATCGCTGATTCGCCGCGGCGCAGTAAATGGCCAGACAGAAACAGAAACTGTCCGGCAGCGCGGAAGCACAAGGCAGATAAAGCAACGCCAAGAGGAACCTCAAAAGATTTAAATGGATTGCACAGCCGCGGTCCTTGAATTTAGTTACTGGAGGAAGGAGAAGAAGAAAAGAAAAAAGTAAAATAAAAGCGATGGCACGTGTTGAACCTAAGGTAGGTACCCAGCCCCTAAGCTGCACCTACTTGCAGTGTGTACGGCGATGCTGCAGTGGCTGGTCTGAGACTGGAGTGGGTCGAAATGACTGCGGGCCTTGTTGGCCCCTTGGGTGGTCTTGAGCAAACCGGCCTAGTTTAGGGGTTTGTGATGTTTGTTGGTGGTGATGACCTGCGGCGGGGATTTGGTTGTGGACCGACCTGCACGGGGGCGTAGGATCAGCACGACATCCATGGGCTCGAGGACGGAAAAGGAAGTTTTTTGTGGTGTCATGGCTCAGCATGCCCCGGGCAGTCCATAATCGAGTCCAGTGGCACTTGCCATCGCTGTAGCGCCTGACTCGAGCTTTGCCATGGTCGCACTCGTCACTTGACTGGACTAAACTTGACGGAAACAACCCCGGGGCTCTCCTGCCCTTGGAACGCAGATGCGAAGGAGGGCGCCAGAATTGCTGGCCTAAAACCCCCGCATCCGTCATTGCCCAGCCCGGCCTCTGCCGTGGGAACGGAACCCTGCTCGTAAAGTGAGCCACTCAAATAAATCGTCGATGGAGAGCAAGTACCCGCTCAGTTCGCATCAACATAAACTCTACACAATACGAAGTAGGGATGTGCTTTATCCCAGTATAAAAATTTCTGCTGTGTGCATGTCTCACATCATTGAACAATGATGGACATGTAGTTCGTCGGATTTTTTTGTCGTTCAGCATCTCGTCCACGGCAGAAACGGGTCGTACCGCAAGCAGGGGTTGTAGATAAGGCAGGGACTGCGGGTGTTGGTGCAGTAACTACCTTGCCGCTTCTCTTGTGGTTGACTTGTACATGCTCCCACTTGTATTTGCAGATGCCTGGCCTTGGGATCTAAGCTAAGCCGGCTCACCGGAACCAGTACAAGCTACATATTCTTTCTTTACACGCCCTTTTTTTTTTTTCGTTTGTTTTCTGGGTTTTTGCGAGGCGAACACACTGGGGTTCGAGGACCTGTGCAAGCTTACATAAGGTGATAAGCTCATCACTTGCTGCGCCAAGACCCCCGTCCCAGCAAGCAGCCTTATCGATATCTAAAACTGGGGAGCGCGACGCCGCCATCGATTTGTCTGCTTGGAGTGCCGCTTCTAGAAATTCTGCGGCAGCATCCAGCACCACCGACGGACCGCCGGAACCAGCCACAACCATGCTCCGATCCTGCCGACCAACACGGTCACTCCTCCGAACCCGTCAGCCATGGAATATTTGTAAAGGTAGCCACCTGTCCGTTCCGGCAAGGACGCTTGCCACGGCCGTTAAGCCTGGCATCAGGGTGCGACCCTCCAGCAAAGTAGGGCCAACCCAGATTATACCTCTCTCGGGGTTCTCGCATGGGCTAACGGCTGTTCTAGGAGCCGACAGAGCGCGACTTAATTACCACCCTACCCAATGGCATTCGCGTAGCCTCGGAGGATCTTCCCGATGCCTTCTCGGGCGTGGGTGTCTACATCGATGCTGGGTCGAGGTTCGAAAACGACTCGCTGCGCGGGGCGAGCCACATTATGGACCGGTTAGCCTTCAAGTCGACAGGGTCACGGTCTGGAGACGAAATGCTGGAGGCGGTTGAGAAACTGGGCGGCAATATCCAATGTGCATCCTCTAGGGAGTCCATGATGTACCAAGCGGCGACCTTTAACGCGGCCATTCCCACCACGGTTGGTCTGTTAGCCGAGACGATCCGCGATCCGAAGCTCAGCGATGAGGAAATCGAACAACAACTCGAAACGGCCGACTACGAAGTGAAGGAGATATGGTCGAAGCCTGAGCTGATCCTGCCCGAGCTGGTCCACACTGCCGCGTTTAAAGACAACACTCTCGGAAACCCGCTGTTGTGCCCGCAAGAGAGGTTAGGCGCTATCAACAAGGAGGTCATCCAGACGTACAGGGATGCCTTCTATAAGCCCGAACGGATAGTCGTGGCATTCGCCGGCGTCCCACACGCAGAAGCCGTCAAGTTAGCTGAGCAACACTTTGGGGATATGAAGGCAGCGCCACCAGCGCTCTCCAGAACGGGGTCAGAAACATCACTCGACTCGGTGGGGTCAGAATCTAGCGACGCATCAAGCGCCTCATCTTCCTCATCATCCACAACTTCTAGCCCAGAATCGTCCGGGCTGCTTTCCAAAATCCCTTTCCTCAAGAATTTCTCCTCTAGCAACACTTCCGCTCCCGGTCCCATCATTCCCATCTCCCCTGAGGATTTGGCCCGACCAGCCCACTACACAGGCGGTTTCCTTTCCCTCCCTCCCCAGCCGCTCCCGCTAAACCCCCACCTCCCCACATTCACACATATCCAGCTCGCCTTCGAGGGCCTACCCATCTCCTCCGAAGATATCTACGCTCTCGCGACGTTGCAAACCCTCCTTGGCGGCGGCGGCTCCTTCTCCGCCGGCGGGCCCGGGAAGGGCATGTACTCGCGCCTGTACACGAACGTACTCAACCAGCACGGGTGGGTCGAGTCCTGCGTCGCCTTCAACCACTCGTACACCGACTCGGGCCTCTTCGGCATCGCCGCCTCCTGCTACCCAGGCCGCACCACCGCCATGCTGCACACCATCTGCCGCGAGCTGCAGGCCCTGGGCACCGAGGGCGGGAGCCTGGCCCTTAACCCCATCGAGGTCGCCCGCGCCAAGAACCAGCTGCGCAGCAGCCTGCTCATGAACCTCGAGAGCCGCATGGTCGAGCTCGAGGACCTCGGGAGGCAGGTGCAGGTGCACGGGCGGAAGATCCCCGTCAAGGAAATGACGCGCAAGATCAACGACTTGACCGTCCAAGACCTAAGGCGGGTGGCGAGGATGGTGGTGGGCGGGATGGTGGATAACAAGGGCAAGGGCAGTGGCGCCCCCACGGTCGTGCTGCAGGAGGCAACGGCGCAGGGCGTCACAACGACCACGCTACCCTGGGAGCAAATTCAGGATATCGTCCACCAGTGGGGGCTGGGGAAGGCATGAGCGGAAACGACGTGATGTATGGCGGCAATGTAAGATCAAAATTAGAGTAAGAGTGACGGGTTGTATATCACGAGCTTGTGGGGATGTATAGACCAACATTTGACGCTTTGGTGTGCCCCTGAGTGACATGTGACACCCTTGGTTACAGGAATGAACCAGGTTTCTTAACGTCAACAAACACACCAACCAACGATGCGTCTGAACTAAATCTATTGACTAGTAGTGTATGCCTAGACCAGTAGGTGGCTGACGAAGCCCTGTATCGCATACTGCATCTGCGCCGAATCTTGCCAGTCTCGAACTCCACGTACCCGCTAAACCCCCATGATAAAGAACAAACACCCTTGCATAAAGCGCATTAAACACCAGTCCGTCAGTTCCCATGCGATGTATTCCAACCAACCGAACCAACACCAAACCAATGCCTGTTCGCTCGCTCCCCTTTCCTGACCAACCGGTGCAGCAACCACCCAGCCTCCTCAGCCTGCACTCACAGCTTCGACCTCACAGCCTCCAACCTATACTTAACATCCTTGAGCGCCTTGGTAACCGGTTTCCAATCATCAAACTGCCGCACCAGCTCCGCCGTCTCCGCCGACAGTTCCGTCTTGACAAAGTCCTCCTCCAGCACGCCACGCATGATCCACGGCAGGTGATACGGGTTGGGGTTCGACAAGCCCGCGCTGCCTCCCCCTCCCCCGCCATCGCCGCTCCCACTCCCACCACCATCACCACCGCCACCGCCGCGGCGATGGTGCACCACCTCGCACGGGCCCACGATATCGGTCGTCTCGAGCGCGTGCGTCACCGCTAGGTCGTAGACCCGCTCGTCGTCGTATAGCCGCGAATGGCCCTCGCCTGAGTACAGGCTGCCGGCGAGTGGGGTGGAGAGTTCGCGGATTAAGCCGTGGTCGGATACGCCGAGGTTGCGGAGCTTGAGGGCGAAGCCGACGAGGTGGGCGATGCTGGGTGGGGGCTGGGTGTTAGTGTCTTTGGTTTTTGTTTGGAGGGGAAGGGGGAAGGGGGTGGTGACTGACAAGTCGGGGGCGTGGATCCGTCCGTCGATGAAGACGGCGCGGTAGATGTAGGGGTGGTGAACTGGTGCGTAGATGGCCGACTGGATTTCGATGTTAGTATGACGGGTTGGTGGTGGGTGGAGCTATTCAAGCATACCTCCAACGGCACAAGCTGGTCGTCAATGCTGCCAATGTATGTGAGGCGTGCACCGTAATTCAGCACTGCTGTGGTGGACGCCTCGAGCCGCTTAGAAACTTCACTCTGGGGGTCGGCAAACTCCCAAAGCTCAGCGGCCGTTCCCATGAGAATGCCCATGCTGGACCGGTAGTCAGGGAAAGGACCTAAAGAGACACCAGCTATACCAAGTATCAGCACAGTCCTGGCAGAATGGTGCCTATGGTGCATAACTTACCCATCGCACACACTCCCACTTTGGCTGACGCCACCACCCCCAACTCGATAAGCTTCGCGAGCAGCATTATGCTGACAGGCACACCCTGAGAATGGCACCCAATCAAGATCAGGTCGGCCTTGCGGATGAGATCGATCCAGTTCAGCAGCAGCTTCCAGAGGTTCTCGACCCGTTCACCGATCTTGCCTTCGCCTTCGAGGGCAACCTTTTCGATTTCGCAATCCTCACAACCATGGCTGTCAGCCCATCTTCTAATGGCTTCAGCGCAGTGGTTCGCGAACTTGATGGATGTCCCAGTTGGTTGGCCAATCATGGGGCGTAAGTAATTCGCAGGGAAAAGGCCATGGACTCCAATGGCAATAGCTTTCTTGATCTTTGGGGGTTCTTTCACCAAGTACACATGCTTCCCCGATGGTTGCTGCGTCCTCAAAAGTAATTGGGCAATCTGTTTGATTATGGACGAATTCTCCTTGAGCTTGTAGGTACCATCGAAAGATGGAAGTAGAAGGTTTGGTGGCGAGATCTTTGCTGCGGCTGCTGTTTTGGTTTTGGGAGTAGATGGCTTACTGGCCTTGTCAACCTTCGGTGTGCCTGGCCGGACCGGGGGCGCATCGTCGACCTCCATTGACTTCGGGCGCCCTCGTTTGTTACTCTTGGACGAAGACTCTCGGGAAGATGTCACAGCGGCTTTAGTCGGCTCCTCTTTCCGACCAGACTTGAGCGGAGGCTCTTTTGTGGGGGTGCTTTTGAATTCCATCGATTTCGCTTGTTGAGGATGGGTTTCAGATACCTCCCCCATGACTGCGAGCTGGCCCTGCTCACTCTCCGCCTGCACGGGCTTCTTGGTGACTACCGACCCTGTATCGCGGGACCAAAATGCCCATGTCGACCCTGCCTTGGGTGTGGACGCAGGCGCGGGCGCGGGCGTGGGTGTCGGCGCTTCAGGAACTACTTCTGCCGCTGGTGCATCTTTCATAGCCACATCTTCGGGTTCATTCACCGTTGGAAGTGGCGCCTCCGGCTCCGCGGGCGGTGGCCTCGTTTCAGTTTGTGACTGTGCGGGAGCAGTTCTACTAGACCAGGACCAGAGCCACGAACCGCCGTAACTTGGTGCAGTTTTGTCCTCGGGTTTATCAGGCGTGCCAGAGACCGCCGGGCCCTCCTGCGCCGGCTGTACGTCTTTGTCGGCCTCGGGAGCCTTGATCTCAGAAGCTTTAACCTTGGGAGCCTTAGCCTCGGGACCCTTAACCTTGGGAGCCTTAGCCTCGGGACCCTTAACCTTGGGAGCCTTAGCCTCGGGACCCTTAACCTTGGGAGCCTTAGCCTCGGGACCCTTAACCCTGGGAACCTTAGCCTCGGGAACCTTTGCCTCAGCAGCTTTGGCTTCAGGCGCCCCTGTCTCAACAGAAACTGGCACGCTCGCCTCTTGTGGACTAGAGTCTGCAGTAGATGCGGGTGTTGGTGGTATGGGCGCTGCGGTTGCTGTCCTCCCCAGCCATCCGAACCACCCTGAAGCGGGCCGCGGGGGTACCGGATCCGTGGCAGTTTCTACACCTTGCCCGTCCGCGGGTCTTTCGGCAGGTTGTTCCGTTCCCCTCCCATCTTCCTGGCCGGCATCTGTCATTTCAGTATCGGGAGCCTCAGGATTCGGCTTGTCGTCGGGATTCGTAACACTTTCGGTCGCTGTAGGGGATGGGTCTGGTGGTTGCTGCCCTGCACTAGCAGAATGCTCCTGTATCTTCGGACCGGTAGACCCTGAAGCGTCATAAATGCTCATGGCGTCTGCGGGTTTCTTCTGTTCAAATCGACTGAAATCCGCTGTTCCCGCCGGCTTCGAGGTGCCTCCAAGAATCGTTTCTCGTGCTACCTGAGTCGACGCGGCGGATTTCGGTACTCGAGGCCAAGATCCGTACCAGCTTCGGGATTTCTGAGCCTAGCAACACTATTAGTTAGCACAAGGTTTATTCAAAAGAACGGGTTGCCACCTAAGGCACTTTGACGAGTGTACGTGCCTGCTTGGAGCCCTGTCCGGGAGTCGGCGCAATCCCGCTGTTTCCATTCGGCTGCGACGATCGGAGTGTCGACTGGTTCGTGGCTGAAGTACTGGGAGTGGCGTGATCGGCGGCAGAGGTGCTTGACTTGGATGACTTGGACGATGGTGACTGCGACGGCATCGTGGGAGTTGGAGTCGAAGTGTTCGAATCAGCGGCAGGGTTGGGTTTAACCCGCTTACGGGAACCCATGGCGCACGTCGAGTGCGGAGAAATACGGGGATTCCTTCAGGCTTATCAGGTTCGTGGAGGCGAGGGCTGTGGGCGGGATGGATGCGTCTTCGAATGCTATTGTTCGTTGCCTTGCCATCCATGTGTTGTCCGCCTGAACGTGGCGGCGGTCGGGACGCGGCGACCCTAGTTGGCTCGAGCTCGTTGGCTTCCCGAGGCTGTACGTCATCCGGTCACCGGGTTGTATCAGGAACCACTTCGATCGGAGATAAACATTGTAGTATAGACAGAACCCCTGGACCAAGAGCATGGAAGTATCAAGC